AGAAAACTCAGGCAACACCACTAACCCTCGACATTGAACAATGATCCAAAAAAAAAATAGCACTAAACCAAAGACACCCGCAGTAGAAAAAAAAAACAACCAATATTGAATACAAATGAAAGAATTTAAAATAAAATTATTATATTAAACAGTTAGACTCCGACCTGATAAGATGCACTTTTTTTATATATGGCCTTGGCCTTGCTTGTTCTTATTTTTTTTTTCTCTCTCTCTCTTTTATTTCATTTGAACTATCATCAAAGATATATATTGGTTCTTTGTCTCTATTATTTTTATGATTCTTCTAAAAAACAAACATAATTCTCTCTCCAAAATTATAATTACTTTTCAACCAATTACCATATACAAATCATACACCCTATTCTCAACTATCATTATTCCAATCCCATCTGATTCGGGGGGGTCCATCCACACAAGAAAAGGAAACAAAGAAAACGACTCTTACATAGAAAACAATCCAAACAAACCCACAAACACAAGCTCAATGTCCTCTCTTGATTTTGCATGCGTACGAAAGGACGCGAACCAAAAGGTAAAGGGGGGGAGTACCCAACCCCCCACAAAAGTATAGCGTCTATCGCTGAATAAAGGGAAGAAAAGCGAAAACCGAACTAAAAACAACAAGGAAGGGGGGGAGCAGATTAGGAGGCAAAACCGGTGACCCCGTCATTATCGGTTATCACCTCGTGGCAATTAAAATCAACCGGAAGAAAACCGGGAAGACAAAGATAGAGAGAAGACAGACATGAGAGAGAAAAAAAGAAAAAGAGAAAGAGAAGAACGAAGATAGACAGAGAGACAGAGAGAGAGAAAGAAAAAGAAACATAAACCAAGAGCGCCAGAAAAAGACCCGGGAGAGAGAGAGAGGAGAGAGAGGAGAGAGAGAGATGAAATGAGAGAGAGAGAGAAAGAAGAGAGAGAGAAAGAGAGAGAGGGAACCGAGAGAGAGAGAGAGAAGAGAGAGAGACGAGGAAGGAGAGGGAGACGAGGAGAGAGGGAGCAGACAGAGAGAGACAGAAGAGAAAGAGGGAGAAGGAGAGAGAGAAGAGAGAAAGAGAGAGAGAGAGAGAGGGAGGGAGAAGAGAGAAAGAGAGAGAAGAAGAGAGGAGAGGAGAGAGGAGAGAGACGCTCGGCGCGAGGAAGAGAGAGAGAATGACGGAGGAGATGAAGAGAGAGGGATTAGAGAGAGACGACGAGAAGGAGAACGGGAGGAGAGAGGCTGAGAGGAGAGAAGAAGAGAGATCGAGAGGGAGAGAGAGAGAGAGAGGAGAAGGCGAGAGAAGAGAGAGAAGAGACATTAAAAGAGGAGAGGAGAGAGGAAAGAAATCAATGCGAAGGAATTGAACACGACCAAGACACCACGCGAATTTCCCGAAATCCAGAGTTCAAATAACACTCCCCCCCCCCCCCCAAGGAAGGACTCCCCCCCCTTACCACCTCCGCCCCCCCCCCCCCCCCCCCCCCCCACCCCCCCCCCCCCCCCCCCCCCCCCCCCCACCCCCCCCCCCCCCCCCGCCCCCCAAGAAGCGACTCCCCCCTCTTCCCCCTCCCCCTCTTTTCAAAAAAAAAAAAAAAAAAAAAAAAAAAAAAAAAATCCCGTTCGTTTATCTCGAAGGAATACTTTTCTCGTCTACGACAAAAGAGGCAGGAATGGCGCAAGGAGAGAAAGGGTTAAAAGCACGCTTTGAAAAGTCCTAAGCCTTGCATGCAGCCTCCATCAGATTACTGGTTCTAAGACTGATTATCCCGATGGATTCTCTCTGCTTTTCCTTCATTCTTTTTCTTTCACCCCTTATTTATCATCGCGTTGCTTCTGTCTCTTTTATATTCTTTCTCGTTTGCTCTTTAGTGTTTGCAAGTGAGAGAGAGAAAAGAGAAAGATTGAGTGAAGAGGAAAGAGAGAGGAGAGAGAGGAGAGAGAGACGAGAGAGAGAGAGGGGATGAGAGGAGAGAGGGAGAGAGAGAGAGAGAGAAGAGAGAGAGAGAGAGAGAAGAGAGAGAGAGAGAGAGAGAAGAGAAGAGAGAGAGAGAGGAGAGAGAGAGAGAGAGAGAGAGAGAGAGAGAGAGAGAGAGCGAGAGAGAGAGAGAGAAGAGAGAGAGAGAGAGAGAGAGAGAGAAAGAGAAAGAGAGAGAGAGAGAGATAGAGTGAGAGAGCAGAGAGGAGAGATTGGGTGGGGGATGAGAATGGAGTGGAGAAAAAGAAGGAAATGGAAGACGAATGGGTTTCTTTGTCCATCTACATATATAATAATGAACACACACAAACACACACACACACACACTCACACATTCTACACCACACAACAATCACACCATACTGATTACTTCATGATTATCACTTTATCTAAAAAATACCGCAAATATGTTTTTGTTTGCGTTTATTCATAGTATATCGTCATATTCAAAAACAGTCATGCACAGACAAACAAATACCACTATAAACCCTCATAGCCCTATTTTCCACTTTCATATGCAACCC